TCAAGAAAACCCAACCTGTCCTACCAGATAAGATTTATCTACAGAGCTTATAAAGATACTTATGAAGGGGTTTTGGTTTTATACACAGAGATGTAATTAAAAAAAAAAAAAAAAAAAAAGAGACAAGTAAACCCAAAAAAACACTAAAAGTAAAATCCCCACAGTTTCTTAAAGAGCTACATTTCCCACATATTGTAGCACTAGTTTTATCAAATAAAAAACTGAAATACTTTTAGGGAATTATGTTTGTTGCAAATTTGCCAGATGTTGCTGACCTTTTATTTCGGTCATAGTTATATTATGCCATTTTCATGAGTAAACAGAAAAAAACTCTCCTACACCTTTTCTTTGGGTTTGTTGGAGACTGAAGGAGAAATATTTTGAGAATCCACTTCTTAAATCATTCCTGTATCCACACAAATGCATCCATTATCTCTTTCTCCCTCCTTTTTCTTTTTTTTCTTTCCAAAAATGATCTCTCTGTATTGCAGAGGTATGAGAGAGAGTCCCTTGAATAACTACACAGCAAAGTTTTTACTGACAGAACAGCAATGGAAATTACAAGTCATGACTTATGTCCACCAAGGGCCACTGAAGAACTTGGTATTTGAGAAAAAGGAAGTAGTAGTAGAAGTAGAGTAGGATTCAGAAGTCTCCATTGCATTTGCTACTTAAAACCTCTGACTAAGAAGACAAGGGTAAATGAAGGCATTACACTTTTCAGATCTCTGAAGTAAGGTAAAATATAACTGAAATGGAAGAAGGGACTATACAGAGTACAAGAATACTATTAAAAGTCTGATGTAAAGACCAAAGCATCACTGCTCACTGAATTTCAACAGTGAATTAATAATCAATAGTTAATAATATTCTCTACACATTTTTGTAGTACGTGGAAATTTCTTCTTCACTGTTGTTTGAAGATAGGACTATTAAAAATCACCTAGCAATAATCACCTATTTCATATACACTTACTTCACAGAGAGCATTTCTCTCATCTAGAAGAATCAATTGTCTGAAAAGCTGAAGAGACCGTTGATCAGCTTTCCAAGAGTTATTATTCAAATCCCGTTCTTGTTTGCATAAAATAATACCCTTAATGCAGAACGGATTGTAACAGAAATATTACTAAATTGTTGGAGAATGAAAAATCAAAGCAGTATAGTATTTGCCATGCCAGCATGGTTCTATCAAAGCATGTAAGCCCTGAGAAATTTCAATAGTTTAAAATACCAAAGAAAATCAAACTGAGCATTATGTTTACTTTCAAAATAAAAGCAAAAGCT